CACCTCTTTGTGTCCCCATCATCATCCTTCATTCCTCTTTCCTTCCCCCTTCCCTTATCCCCTTTGTTGAGTAGCAGGCTAGAGCGGACTAGCTCAGGCCGACCTCTCTGCCTTCTAATAAAATCTCACTCTCTCTCTCTCACATCCCATCAGGGTTCTCTTCGGGATATGGTCTATAAATTTTGGTATGTCGCAGCCTTGAGGGGACATCCGATTTGAAAAGCGAAAACAAAAAAATGCTAGGCTTGCGCAGGAAATGCAGCACAGTCACAGCGAAAGCTAAAAGAGCGGCTTTTCAGAGCCTTTTCAAAACACTAATTGGGTAGCTACTGCAAGTACACTCGCTTAATACCCACTAGGGCATTAATAATAAATTTTTTGGGGTACTAGGCTGGCATACGCTATGCTATTTTTCGTCGTTTTTCTGGGAATCGTGGTATCCGCTAAACACTTGCAAGGAATTTTGTTCCAATTGCTCATGTAGTGGCTGAGGATGATGAGGAACTACGGCTGAAGTGGGTATGCGCCACAGTTAATAGTGGAGCAAGAACAAGCTTTTGTAACAGGTTGGAGCATTGGATGGTTCACTCGTTATTCTATTCGCATTGTGTGACGACTGATGTTCTTTTTCTGTTTTAAAACGCTTTATAATTTGTAATAACGTGATTGTTTTCCCGATATCAAGCCTTCCTAAGGCAAGTTTGCCAACAAGTCACAATAGCTCAGTGGTAGAATACTGAGCTGGCACCCAGTGGACCAGAGTTCGTGCACCACTGTGCCATTGGTGCTACATTTTTTTTTCTAATTTCACGCGATGTGGTTACGGACACCGGCGGCGGCGCACAACCGCACGTGACTCGAGTTGTGATCTCATAACAGCTTTCACCCTTAAAAAATGTTTTGGCAATTTGTAACTTAGAGCAATGAAATCTTTTGCCTTGTATAGGGGCTTTTATGCTGATTACAATTATGTAATTAGTTATGTAGTAAGTTGTACAGTTTTTGGTTTGTGCCATGACAATGTGTAAAGTACAGTTCGTTTTAGACTAACTTTTTATGCTTTTAAGCTTTTATGGTTTTGAGCCATTAATGGCTTATATTGGTCCACATTAATTGTAGAATGCAAAAAAAACTATCAAAAAAGTGTGATAAAATATTTTAGTGGACTAGAAAAATTGTAATGTGAGAGTTCTTGAATGCACAGAATGCTTACTTTAGGTTCTTAATAATTATGTAGGCGATATCAAGTTTTAAGGAAGATACTTGCACCCTTCACATGTTAAGGAATACAGTAGACTCTCAGTAAACGGAAATCTGTTAAACAGAGTTGTGTTCTGCACCCATGTTCACCTCTCTGTAAACGAAACTCCTGTTAAATGGAACATATTTTTCTGGTCCCTTCAAGTTCCGTTTACTGAGAGTATACTGTATGGGGCCGAAATTTCATCCTTATTGAGCTATCAGAAGTACCAAGAGCATCATGTCCAATTTGGAGAAGTTGCCCAATAATGGATCTTGCAAAAAACGCATTTTAAATATATGAGTCAAAGCACACCTATGCAGCAAAGATGTTTTTTTTTTTTTTAAGATGACTTCTTTCATCATGAGAGCTTGGCAATCATTGCTATCTTGAGCATGTGTCCTTAGTGAACTCCTGATGAGAAATACAAGGGCAAGCAGCTCGGTGACAAACCCCAGGTGGTTGAAATTTCTCGAGCCCTCCACTGTAGCATCTCTCATAATCATATGGTGGTTTTGGGACGTTGAACCCCACATATCAATCAAGCAGCCAGGTGACAATTTCCAGGTGACCCTAGACAATGAGTTCTTTTTAGTTTTAGTAGCGGCTTTGCGCTCTTTAGAGGTGACTTCAACCTTTTCGAGTTGATTTACAACATTCTGTTTGTTTTGTTGTGGAAGTCGAGAAAGTAAACTTGTGAAAGCAAATAAAAATGAAAAATATATAATATAAGAAAAAATCTTGCATTTTTTTACCTGCATCGTCCCGTAAGTGGTGTCTTTGCTGAAGTGCTATTCCTGAAGTTTTTCCATGTGAGGGGAGCTAATGGCAGTGAAAGGATGCCTCTGCCATATCTTGCTATCTTGACAGCATTCAGCTGTTCATAATGTGTTGTGCTGGTATGATAACACTGTTCTTCATTTTGGAGCATGGTAATCAGCATTGCTTTTGCAAGGCCTGGCCTATGAGGCCATACTCATAAGGTTTATACGATCAGAGCAGTGGTCGTTGTTCTTTGCCACTAAGTAGTACTGCTGCCTTATCAGTCGTGCAGTTTCACAGTTCTTTAGCTTTGCCACCGGGATTGCTTATTTATGATGTGTGAGTAAATGTACTTATAGTATTCATTAACGTGATGAACGCTCTCGCATAATAAATGCACCCCCGACTTCAGTTGTCAAAATTTTGATTTTTCTTTTCCCCACGTAATAAACGCACCCCCTACATTTGTCTGCTGCAGTTCCACTAACCGATACCTGGCACCTCCTTGCCCTTTGGATCTCTTCTATATTTTATTATTATGCCGACCCCCTTGGCTCGCTCCCTCCTCCCCTTCGCCTGGTGCCATGCGCTGCATTGTTTTTCTTTTTATCTGTGCGCGGCATGTCCCCAGTCTTCTTTAATTATTCACTGCAGCGCGGCTCACGAACGGTGCGAGTGTTAGACATCGCAGCTGATAAGCACACAGTGAGCGAAGGTCATGAAACTTTTTGCGCCAACCAATGGTCGCTTCCTGCATATACGAATCTATAAGGATCAACCACATGCACGCAATTTTGGAGCGATGACAACAGAATTTCCTGTCGCTATGGCTGTCGTGAAGGGCCATTCATTGCCATCGCATCACAGGTTTTTGGAAAACCAGAAAGAAATCGCTTGTCGCCCAGAATAAATCGTCACTGCTTACACAACAAGGTTTCTGATTCTCGCTTCGGTTGCAAGCGCAGCCAAAGCGGGGAAACCGCGAGATCTTTCTCGTAGTCTCCGCGCCTCGTGATGTAACTCAGCAGTGCGTCCCTCTTTCCTTCAGGATGGCTCTAGAATTTACTCGGGGTTTGATACAAGAGAGTTGTCGGCGAGCGGCTGCCGTTTTGAGGGGGAAGGGTGGTGCGAAAGCGGCATCTTTTGATGCTTGTTTTTTCTGTTGCGCATGCTTCATTTAGACAAGCCGGTGTCTGGATTTCCCTCAGCCGTTAGAAATCGAAGGTGTGTGCTTGAACGCTCGTTTGTGACACCTGGTCCACTGCTAGTCACATATGTCTCTGTAGATGTCCCGTAGGGGGATGTGGTACCTGTTGCAAGTCGTCTTTTTGTGACATATGAACCACATTACCAGGACATTTTTTTTCGCCTACCTTTCTTCCCGAGCCATCCTCATTGCATTGTTGTAGTCAAAGGTATGCACTGCTGTCCAGCAGTGTTCAATGAGCTCTGTCTTTGAACGCATGGCATGGATGGCTTTAGCGAGGTCCCCTTTCTGTTTTTTGAGCCTTGTTGACTTAAAACGCGTGGCATTGGTGGCTTTGGCGACGTCCCCGTTCTGTTTTTGAGCCTTGTTGATCATTTACTGTCTATTTTGCCGATGCAAGTAGTGTTGCATTCGTCGCGTGCTACATTGTAAACGATTCCGCTCTGATCGTTTGCCGGTGTGTATTCTTTGGGTCCCTAGGTGTAGTGAGTTCTAAAACGATTCCTATGTCCAGCTGTCTGAACAGTCTGATTTGCCGTGAACATAAGGAATAGACACAATAGTCGTCAGCTTTTTCTATGGCGCACGTCTTGTTCCTTTTTTTCATTATAAATGATGTGGTGGGAAACTAGGGAAGAAAAGCTGGTTAGACAGCTTGAGAACGACTTGTTCCTGGGCTAGTTGGTGCCAGATCAAATTCATAATGTAGCACAAAAAATGACACAATGCATTGATTGATTGATTGATTTATATATATGTGGGGTTTAACGTTCCAAAACCACCATATGACTATGAGAGATGCCATAGTGGAGGGCTCCGGAAATTTCAACCACCTGGGGTTCTTTAACATGCACCCAAATCTGAGCACATGGGCCTACGACATTTAGGCCTCCGTAAAAAATGCAGCTATCGCAGCCGGGATTCGATCCCGCGACCTGCGAGTCAGCAGTTGAGTACCTTGGCCACTGGACCACTTTTGTGGGGCACGACACGACGCACACAAAGAACTGCACACCACAAACGCTACTAACAACTTTAATGAAAAATTTGAAGACGCATAATATATCTTCCAACCATTGCGTTACATTATGAATTTGATAAAACAGCTTGAGTGTGTCCTGACCATCCCCAAAATCCCCCACAGTGGTTATGCACCACAGTTAATAGGTGAATCAGATCAAGATTTTGTAATAGGTTGGAGCATTGGATGACCCACTTGTGCAATTCGCGTTGTTTGACACCTGGTTGTTCCTTTGCTGCTCTAAAACGCTTTATTACTCATAATAACACAATTCCTTTCCCGAAAGTAAGCCTGCCTAAGGCCAGTTTGCAAAAAAGTTCCAAGCAACCGGCGTAAATCAAGCAACCGCGTAACTCAGTGGTAGAATAAGGGCTGGCATGCCGGGGACCCGGGTTTAAATTTCATTGTGTCCTTGGTGTTTTTTATTTGCTGAATTTTTTTTCTTATTTCGTTCGATAGTGGTTACGGACAACGTTGGCAGCGGTCAACTACGGTGCACGCGGCCCTAATTGTGATCTCGCAACAGCTTTTGCTGTAAAAATTTCTAACTAAGGTTTTGAAACCAAAAGTAAATGAATTTGGGGTAATAATGCCTGTCAAGAAAGACACTTCATTATTCTTTAAATGTAGTTTGTGTGATATTAAAGAGCTTTTCTGTACTCAGTAATATTGGTAGCGTGAATCACTGCATCTGGCAGTGCCTTGTTGCAGCTCAAGTGAAACCGAGTAACCCTATGCTCTTGTTTATGCTACGCACATTCCCTTTGCAGTACTGTACAAGGATGGGCCTCCGTTCTATCATGCCACTTTCTCGGTGATCGTGCGCTCTGTGTGGGCTGACACTCTCGAGACAGAGCCTGATCACCGTCTTCAGACTTGGCCCGCACTGTCAGGTCTTATCAGGGTCAACGGAAATGCCTCCAAGGTATGTGCCATGGCCTACCATCACTGGAGTGGTTGTGTGCTAATGTTTAAAGGAAATGTTTGCACAAATGTTATGCCTTGGTTCTCCTGCCGGGCTTGAGTCTTACAGCCACGGTGGCATCGTTTGCAACTACTGCAAAATAAAAATGTACTTAGGCCATACTTTACCTGCATAACGCTACAGTAAATCTCAGATGGTCAGAATGCTAAATCCTGAGACCTCCACTGCAGTGTCTATCATAACCAACTGCCCAATTTCAGGATGTCAACAGGATGGTTGTGAGCAGTTCAAGTACGATTTTGAACAGTCTCTAGATGTTCCAAGTTCACCCGCCATCACCTTCATAAAAAACACCTTTTCCCTATTTTGTTTTCACCCATTCAACTTTTTAAACTTCGAGTAGCAGGTCGGAATATGGCCCTATTTTGTTTTCACCCATTCAACTTTTTAAACTTCGAGTAGCAGGTCGGAATATTGATTCAGGACAGCCTCTCAGCTTTTATGCTATAATAGATGTTTCTGTCAATCCTATAGAGGGGTGGCATTATTTCAATAGCTCACATGGTAACAGCACCCCTGTATGTTCATTAACACTCCCTTGCAGAAAGTTGGGAAAGGACAGGTGAGGCTTAATAATTCCTGCATTGAATGCTACATTCTGTGGTTCCTTTTTATAATTAATAAATTGTTACCACAATAGATGTGGAGGTTCACCTTGATATCACTCACTGTGGGCATTTTATTGCATTGTCTTCAGACGTGTTCTTTAACATAATGGGTGCCATTGTCTCACCATAGTGCCAAAAATGTTATATCTGGTACGTTCTCCTAATTTGCACATTCGTTTTTCTTTATTGCCTTAAGATTTTATCATTAAGTATTGCTGTGAAGCAATATGATAAAGAAAATGTAAAATCATGTTGATTTGGATAGGGCTGCTGCTTCTGGTAATGGAATTATGTTCGGGTATTTCGGTTTAGGGGTAATGTACTACTCTTACCCCCGTATTCATAAACGCTCCTCGACTCGACTTTCACCCTTCACTTGACAGAGTTGAGCACTGTGCCACCACTCGGCTGAAAATGACGCTGCGCTACTCAAGAATTGCAACAGACTATCACTAATATGCAGTGACTTGCCGTACCTAGAGATGGCGCTCCCATCGGCTTTCTCAAGTGAAAGCAAAGCGTTGAGTGAAGGGAGGTCCTAGAGGTCGGGGGTTAGTGACTGTAAGATATATTTTGTTTCTTTCTGGTCTTGACATTCTTGTAAGAAATACTAGCCACTTTCACTAGAGCTATGTGAATAGCGTAATTTTAGGTGCGAAGCTAATTCGAATATTGAAGTGTGAGTGCAAATCACATCGAATATTTTTGTAATATCTCGGTATGAAATTATAGAAAAAGATGTTTGAGAGGATTATAAAGCATATTCTTTAAGGTAGCAATGTGAAAGTGTTTCTTTTGGGCTAGGCTGTTGGAGCACTGGTGGGGGTGGTGTTTCATCGTTGTCTAATCAAGAATGAGGCAGTGCAGAGGCCAATTGTATTTATGTGCCTGGTGCGACCCGAGTATTGCCTACTGCACTTGAAAGACAATGATGCTGTTTCCTCAGCCCCTCCGCCTCTTTCAATTTCCATAGAAGGCCAACTGATGTGGCGGACAAGGGTGTGCTCTCTTTAAATCTAGAGTTCCAAATCTGCCTCATTGACGTCATTATGTATAAGAACACCTGGAAAATTGTACACTAAGGGTCTGTGGCATCTGTTCTTAGATGCGAAGCAGCTCTTTGACTAGCCTGTGCAACGCTGTCCGTCCGCATCCCCGTGCCAACGCGCCGCACCACATTCTTCCCGCCGCAATGGTTGGAATGATGCCAAGTAGGTCAAGTCGCAGCTGCGCATTGACGTCACTCTCTCCCTCACCCCCAGCAGCTGACAGCTCCTTCCAACACACCTAAGTGTTGTTGCTCCTCCGCTCGCTCGCAACACACTTCTCTCTCGCTTAACCCTCTCTACCGCCCGCAATGCTCGACCGCACGTCGAGTGGAAACACTCTTTGGCTCGTTATCTGCGGTGAAACTTACACAAAACCTAACCCATCTCCCATGCTTTTGCGTTTGGAAGAAACATTTATTCTAGTAAGGCTACACTGAGTTTCACTTCAAACCATTCTTCCAGCACCAGTGTCAACAGCCGTTTTATTTGGGTCAACAGCGTGCGCATCGCTGTTGCTTTGCATCCCATCATGGTTCCCTTAGGGAAGATGGTTCATAATTTGTTTCAGATTTCCTGCCCAAATTTCAGGTTGAACACAATGTTGATCCAGGCCCCATCTCTGCCACATCTATCATCTGCATGTTCGAATCTTAGTTTTCTTGAATCAATACATATGTGATTGTATCAGCAGCTGAAAGGTAGCTTTGCTCGATGTGAGAATTTAATGGGGGTGAAGCTTATTGAAAATCTGAAGGGGCCACTGCTAAGTAGATGTTGGCTATATTTGTATTTAGAAAGTTCGAATAGTAAAATTAAGGTGTGAATTGAATTGAATGGCAAATGGTATTTGAAAAAATATTTGAAATTTGGGATATCTACACACCCCTAACTTTCACTTACAGTAAAAACCCGCGTATAGCCCAGGGTTTTTTTTATATATATTACTGTGCGAAATTTTTGCCCCGGATTATATGCAGATCATAAGAGCTTTCGACCGGAATTCGCCGTTTTGGTTTCGGCAATATGTGGTGCTATCGTCATCATCATCATCAAGTGTCTGCACGCTTCTGCGGCTAGTAGCATTGTAGCGTTTAGTGACGTTAGTCCTGCAGGTGCTACAAGCGTGCAACAGTGGCCATTGCAACCACTTGACGCACATAACAATGACCACGAGTTTACCTCTGTGACTTTACGCCATGCCAGCTCCGCGAAGGCAGTATACAGCTGCCTTTTAAAGAAAGGCTATCTTAGCTGCTGAAACCATTGGTAATTGTGCTGCAGTGCTGCGGGGCAGCAGTTCGGCTTCGACGAGGGGTTCATTGGTGGCTGAAGAAAGCAGTAAGAAGCCCTCTTTGTATGCAGCAGCCAGTGAAGAAGTTTTCAGGGGCCGAAAATGGAGCTTTCTCTGGCGTTGAACAATAACTGGTGCTCAGGAGCAACGAGCTGCACAGCTTGCTGTCAACATTGTGATGCTGCAAGCAAAGGCAAGGGAGATCACGCGAAATCAAGGCACTGAGCAGGCGGTCTTCAAGGCAGGCAAGCATTGGGTGTCCCGCTTCATGTATTGTGCTGGATCCTCCATACGTGGGCATACGTCGATATTACATCGTCATCATCATCAGCCTGACTACGTCCACTGAAGGGCGAAGGCCTCTCCCATGTTCCGCCAGTTAACCCGGTCCTGTGCTTGCTGCTGCCAATTTATACCCGCAAACTTCCTAATCTCGTCTGCCCACCTAACCTTCTGTCTCCCCCTAACCCGCTTCCCTTCTCTGGGAATCCAGTTAGTTACCCTTAATGACCAGCGGATATCCTGTCTACGCGCTACATGCCCGGCCCATGTCCATTTCCTCTTCTTTATTTCAACTATGATATCCTTAACCCCCGTTTGTCCCCTAATCCACTCTGCTCTTTTCTTGTCTCTTAAGGTTACACCTACCATTTTTCTTCCATTGCTCGCTGCGTCGCCTCAATTTAAGCTGAACCCTCTTTGTAAGTCTCCAGGTTTCTGCTCCGTAGCTAAGTACCGGCAAGACACAGCTGTTATATACATTCCTCTTGAGGGATAGTGGCAATCTACCTGTCATAATTTGAGAGTGCTTGCCGAATGTACTCCACCCCATTCTTATTCTTCTAGTTACTTCAATCTCGTGGTTAGGCTCTGCGGTTATTACCTGCCCTAAGTAGACATAGTCTTTTACAACTTCAAGTGAACAATTGCCTATCTCGAAGCGCTGCTCCTTTCCGAGGTTGTTGTACATTACTTTCGTTTTCTGCAGATTAATTTTAAGACCCACCTTCCTGCTCTTCTTGTCTAACTCCGTAATCATGAGTTGCAATTCGTCCCCTTAGTTACTTAGCAATGCAATGTCATCGGCGAAGCGCAGGTTACTAAGGTATTCTCCATTAACTCTTATCCCTAACTGTTCCCATTCTAGGCTTCTGAAAACCTCCTGTAAGCAGGCGGTAAATAGCATTGGGGAGATTGTGTCCCCCTGCCTTACACCCTTCTTGATTGGTATTCTGTTGCTTTCTTTATGAAGCACTATGGTAGCAGTTGATCCCCTGTAGATTTCTTCCAGAATGTTTATATTGTGATGTATATATTGTGATGTATTGTGATGCCTACAATATATACTTCATCTACGCCCTGATTCTGCAGTGTCTGCATGACGGGTGATATTTCTACTGAATCAAACACCTTCTCGTAATCTATGAAGGCTATGTATAGTGGTTGGTTATACTCTGAGCATTTCTCTATTACCTGATTGATAGTATGAATGTGGTCAATTGTTGAGTAGCCTGTTCGAAATCCTGCTTGTTCCTTTGGTTGATTGAATTCTAATGTTTTCTTTACTCTGTTAGCAATTACATTTGTATTTTATTTATTTATTTTATTTATTTATACAATACTGCAGACCAATTTAATGGTTCAAGCAGGACGGGCAGAAAAAAAGAATGTTCAAAAATGTTGTAAATAGCTTGTATACTACAGAGAGCAAGCTGATCGGCCTGTAATTCTTCAAGTCCTTGTCATCTCCTTTCTTATGTATTAAGATGATGTTAGCGTTCTTCCAAGACTCTGGTAGCCTTCCCGTCAGGAGACACCTCGTAAACAGGGTGGCTAGTTTTTCTAACACAATCTGTCCTCCATCTTTCAGCAGATCTGATGTTACCTGATCCTCACCAGCAGCTTTGCCTCTTTGCATGCTCTCCAAAGCTTTTCTGACTTCTTCTATCATTACTGGTGGGGTGTCATCTAGGTTACTGCTAGTTCTTATAG